TTCGGTCAACTCCATACTTTGAAATATGATAAGGGATCTGGTCCATTGTTTCTTCAAGGTAGATCAGATTGAGAAAGGTTGACTCATTCCACTATTCTTTAGAAAGATTGAATCGAGACAGACTTATTCCACTTTTACTCAGGGAAGATCAAATATGGAAAAAAAGGGATTTGTTCCACTACTTCTTGAGGGAAAATCAGATATGGAAACGTTGATTCATTACATTTTTCTTTAGGGAATATTGAATCGAGGTAAATTTGTTCCACTGTTCCTCAGGGAATATAAAATCTGAAAAGAGAGAGATCTATTCCACTACTTCTTGAGGGAAAATCAGATCTGGAAACGTATTCATTCCACTGTTCTTCAGGAAAGATTAAATCGAGGTAGATTTGCTATATTGTTCCTCAGGGAAAATCAAATATGGAAAAAATAGGGATATGTTCTGCTACTTCTTGAAGGAAAATCAGATCTAAAAATATTGATTCATTCAATTGATTTTCAGGGAAGATTGAATCGATTGAGGTATATTTTTTTCCACTATTCCTCAGGGAAAAATAAATCTATAAAAAAATATGGATATGTCCGCTACTTCTTGAGGGAAAATCAGATCTAGAAATGTTTACTCATGCCATCGTTCTTCAGGGAATCTGAAAAGAAATGTTTTTCTTGTCTTCAAGAATATCGAATCTGAAAATTAAATAGTAACCCTTGTTGGTATGTGTTTTGAGAATTTGAAAACATCATATCTGAAAGTCTTGGGAGGTTAATATTTGGAAAGTGATTTTTCTTGTAGGAGCCTGTCTCACCACCACCAAACATGAGAATCTGAATTGGTTGCTTTTATATTGGGTCTTTACATCTTCATCATTTCCTTTTAGAGAACCTGTAACTACTCAATTGAATTTATCATTATCATGCATTTTATGAATGTCATGATCCTATTTATGCCTAAAATGTATGCAATAGTGCAAAAATGTTTAGGGTATTTTATTTTCAGATGAGAACTCTCTTTTGTTGACAGCCTTGTAATTCAATCGAATATTGGGCATGAAAATCAACAGTAGTTCACCCCGAATGACAACTCTGATCGGACACTCTTTGGTTGAACATGACTCTGATTCTCTTTACTCTTGAACCCAGACACTTCTCATGATCAACTACTTGATCAGTGACAAACCTCTTGGATTATCCCACCTTGTTGAGGTTTTACGTGTAGCCCAAGGCTTTAACTTTCTGTAGCCCATCATCATGTAAGCCTCATGCTAAAGCCATTTTCAGCTTTAGAAATACCTGCACTTTTCCAAAACTTTTTGTACAATAATACACTATGATCTCATGTTTCCCAAGTTAATCTACTCGTTTTTATTTTCAAATTAGGATGCTTGCAACATGGTTTTAACAAGAAAAATACCTATTTTTATTTATAAATAAAGAGTTTTTGGGTAAATACATGACAAACTTTTAACTAGAATAATCAAAAGAAAAAAGCAAGCATCCTCAAATATCAATAGTACGAATGCTTTTGAACTGGCACACCGCAAAATGACTCGAGTGTAGCTTCTGTTATACGCAAGGGTGTAAAGTTCCCCCTGTACTACCAAATTCCTCGAATGTTGGAAGTCGTAAACCAGTATTTGAATTTCATGCTTTATTTATTTCTTTTCTGGTTATCCAAGCCTTTTCACACTCTAGTCCTAGTCTGACCACCATTTGGTGTCATTGTTCAAGTCTTCAAAACTAATTTAGAACCTCCACCATGCACGAATTCTGAATTTGAATCACTCTCAAGCCGACCTTTGCAGGTTTTCAACTTGAGACCTCATTTGGTTTCAAGACGCACTTTACGAGTTTTCATCTTGAACTCTCTTTAGTTTTTTTTTTGTTCTTTTTTTTCATTTTTTCATTTTTTCATTTTATTTATTTATTTATTTTTTTTCTTTTTTTCTTTTTCTTTTTTCTTTCTTCAAGCAAAGCACTTCTTAACAACATCAGAATTCACAAGTTTTCAAATCAAATCTTACCATTAATGATAGCATTAAGAATCGTGGGAATGACTAAAAAAATCAATTAATTTCGTGCCTTTATTTTTCCAGAGACTATCATGCGCGATGTGAAATTCGGAAAATAAACTGTAACAAACACAAATCATGAGACTTACCCCTTGCTACTTGTATCAATCATTCATGACAATTACATATCACAAACTTATGAATAGTGATATAAAACTCAATATTGAATTAAGGTGTCAGTTTAATCAATATCGAGAATTCATAAAATAAGAACAAGAAATAAAGATTATTGGATTAAAGAAGAAAAAATAGTTTAGTACAAGCCTCACAAAATTACAATGAAATTGGTTTACCCTTGAATCGGAAATAAAAGCTTAGCCACTCATAGTGGAATGAAAATAAAAGAGAAAAGAAGTTGTACTATCGAAGATATCCTAAAAGGTGACTAAGAGGCGTTAAAAACCCTAAAAGAAAATTAAATATGCTTTAAATGAGTCCATTCAAAACAATGAAAGAATAAAGGAAAATCAAAATAAATAAAGTCTTAATTAAAAAGAGATTGATTCTTGGTCAGATACTTTCAAAATAATGAGAACATCCATAAAAGTGAGCTTCATCTTGGATTTGACTCCAAAAGTTTGGATTCTTCTTATCAGACAGCAGACACGTGTTAGTCATAAGTCGTGGTCATGCCTTGTCGAAGATGGTCTTCTGCCCAATTTCACATTCTTCTAAAAGACTTGATTCTCACATACAAGGCTAAAAACATGCTTTTTGAGTTGATTTTCACAATATCATCTATATTTCACCTCCTAAATCAAAACAAACATAATTTTCACAATTAGGCTCAACTTCTAATAAGAGTATGAAGAAATTAATCATAAAAAGATGTATATAATTATAACTTATCATACTAATAGAATGATAAATAAATTTTAGTTATATTCCTAAAATCTGTTCACAATATTAGATACATCAATCTCGAGGCCCTCTTAAAATAAAGGAAAGTCTTCTTAAGTTGAAAGGTTGAGAGGATGGTTACTCTTTGTAAATTATAATCTAATTTATGATTTTTTTTAATATTCAATTTGTTAGTATTATATTATATTTCTAACAATTAGTCAACCAACAATATAATTGATAAGTCATATTCTACTTTGGAAGAAGTCAATTAAGACCTAGGGCGTTGGTGATTTAATCCTAGAGGCCTCAAGTTATCATATTTATTTTATGTTTGTTAAAGATTTATCTTTAAAAATTTGATGGTGTGTTAACCTATTAGTAAAATATTTACATGAAAGTTATATATATTTTTAATAAAATTTGTACATAAATAACTTAATATATATTTTTTATTATTTTTAATTTTTTTTAGAATACATAAACATTCTTACACCAAAATAATTATGTATTTATTGTTAAATACCAAGATATTAGGAGATGTACATATTTATATTGGTGTAAGTATGTGTTATGTGCTAGACTTTTTTATTTTATTCACTTACATCAATGTAAGCATGTGTTAAGTGCTACACATTTTGTAGTGTGAATTATGAAACTTTAGAACATTCATGTTACGTTATTTTTTAAAAATAATTGTAATAGATTAAATGTAGGTTAATTTGTAATCGAATCGTTAATAACAGTTAACCGTCAGTGGTTAACCGTTTCTTAACGGTTAGGTTATGATTAGAAAAATCTTGTAACCATTATAACAATTAACCGTCCATGAATAGCCCTACTGACACACATTAACGATTTATATATATATATATATATATATATATATATATATATATATATATATATATATATATATATATATATATATATATAAATTTCTCATTTGTTTTTCCTATAATCAATACCTATAATATATTTGGTTGGGATTATGTTACATTATCTTTGATAATGTAAAATTTTATAATCACATTATATTGCTTGATTTTGTAACATTAAATCACTATGATAAATATTATTTAAAAACAGAGGATAAAGGCATTATTATCTAATTTTTAAGTAATGTAATATTCTAATGAGAATGTTATATTTCAGATAATTTATCTCTAAAATTTACTGTTTTAATAATTTAAATTTTTTTAATTAAATTTGTCCATAGATTACATGTCCATAATTTATGTTTGTTGTTGATCAAACCTATGAAGAGGCGGGGGCAGAGGAATCCGCACAAACTGTTAATTAAATTTCCCTTGCAATAAATTTTCTATACTTTATTGTATACAAAATCATGAAGATATATCAATTAGTGGTAATAATAATGGTGAAATAAAGTGACGAATTGGAATTTGCTGGTGCGTGGGGGGAATGTGGCTTTCACTCTCTCCCTCTATCCTACGTACGAGTGTTACATATATGCATGGATTAAGTTACATTTGTCGTAAAAGAGTTGTTATTTCTTAAAGATTTATATTTCACCATAAATATTTTGTACTTACTCAAGATTTATAAAAAGAAAATATTACGTATACAGATTTTAGCAGCCTTTGATAAATTTAGAAAGAAAAAAATATATCAAATATGATGTAAATTTTTATAATTTTAGATATAATATGAAATATAAATGTGATAAAATAATTAAAAATATAAGAAAAATGTATAAAATGAATCATAAATAATTTGTAAAAGAATATATATAATATTAAAGATAATAGGGATAACTACAAGATACAAGGTTCGACTGATCTAGAACTCTGATGTTGTATTCTTTTTTTCTTGAACTCGTCAAGATTCATCTCTTCTGCCGCTTTACCTCTGTGTCGTCTTCTTGGATTTTGAATATTTATCTTCCATACATACATATATTCTCTGTCCCATTTTTTAATCTCAGATTTTATTTAATTTATCAGTTAAGACCAGATCTATCACCTTAGAATTAACAAATCAAATCAGATGAACTAAAACAGATGTTCATAACACAGATGAGATACTCTTTCAGTCATAGGGAATACCTGAATCCCACCAACAAGGACTTGCGTCGCCGCCTGCTCTTTGTTTTCAACGATTCCTTTGATAGAAGAAAATGTTGAGTAGCTGAGAGAAGATGATTATCGTCTCTTCAACTGCTAACAATGAATGGCCACAGGTTTAGTTTTCACTACTTTTTCTCTCAAGTAATTATTCGACAAAACAATGGTCCTATTTTTGTTGTTTTGCTTTTGGAACAGAATATCTATGTAGTGTTGTTATTTTACCATAAGAACACTCGTTTAACTCTCTCTTTTTCCCTCTTTTCATTTCTTTCCCTTTCTTTTTGGGCCATGCATCACTTTGGTTGCAGAAGCATATAGATGAGAAAGACTTGAGGGAGTCAACAGCTAGGCTTATGGAGAAACCGAACAAAGAACAACAACAGCAGCAGCAGCAAGCCCTAAAGTGCCCTCGTTGTGATTCATCAAACACCAAGTTCTGCTACTACAATAACTACAGTTTATCACAGCCAAGACACTTCTGCAAGGCTTGTAAGCGTTATTGGACTCGGGGTGGCACTGTAAGGAATGTTCCAGTGGGAGGTGGATGTAGGAAGAACAAGCGTCTGAAGAGACCAGCGGCTTCAGCCATTGATGGAGCTTCTCCAACTTTTGGTGCAAATACTAACACTCCAGTATCTCAACCTCAAATCGATGTCTCTTCGACCTCAGCTCATCATATTAACCCTTTGTTTTATGGGCTAGTTAATTCCCCATCTGATATCAATCTTCCCTTTCCTCGGTTCAATTCGAGAGTTTCAGGTGTGGAAAACGTAACAGGCTATTATCTCCAGCCCGATTTAAATGCTCTGGGATTAGGGTTTTCCTCTGGAATAGTGTCTAGGGATACTGGGGGCAGTGATTATCGAAATGTTTTTAACACTAACCCGAGAAACCAAATCCAGGAAGTGGCGACTTCAAATCCACTACTTTCAAGCTACTCTAATATCCATGGATCCTCATCTTCTACCACCACCACCAACACACCCACCATTGCTTCTTTGTTAGCTTCTACTCTTTACCAGCACAAGTTCATGAACGGTGGTGTTAAAAGTACTCAGCTGCCTAACCAAATGCAAGCCTTAGCACCTTTTCAAGACCCCCAAATGACAGGTAACACTGAAAATGGGCTAACCATGAAAAATATCAAAGTTGAAGAAGCGCAAAGGAGAATGGAATGGGATATTCCATGCCAGAATCAGCTCGATCAAATCGGTTTATCTGATCCAGCGGTTTATTGGAGCACGCAGACGTCGGTGCTTGGCATTACCCAGCAACCATTGGATCCTCAATCACTTCTCTGATCTAGCAAACTAGACTGTTGTTCTTCAAATTGTCTCCCTCTTTGTTGGGTCTTTTTTTTTGTTGGGGGGGGGGGGGAGTGAGGTGGTTATAGGTACTTAAGTTTCGGTTGATTACTACTGTGGGTACTGGATTCTACGGTCATAAATGGGTGGGATTAGGGAAAAAACTACTAAATTAAAGTTGAGTATTGAAGCATGGATGTGAGAAGATTGGATCGGATGGATCATGTCAGCTGCAAGAATTCAGCCTAAAGTTTTATTATCAAAGGTTGAGAAAAATCCCTATTTGCGCGAGAGGAACCTCGGATCCTCTTCATCTCATTGTTGATGGGTATCATCTTCTTCATAAGTCATCACCGTCTTAAGCTGCTGTGTTGAAGAGATAGGTGTTGCGGAAGACGGCTATCGGATAGAGCAAAATCGCAACTGATAATTTGAGAAAATAAAAATGAAGATAAAAGAGACACAAAATTTACGTGGAAAACCCCTGAATAATATAGGGTAAAAACCACTGGCAATGGTAGAAGAATTTCACTATGAGAAAATAGGAATTACAACCTCTCTCGATCTACCAAGGAGAAAACAATGATAATTCTCTCTAGATAAAAAGGAGAAAACAACTCTCAAGAAACTCTCTAAAATCTTTCTAGTATTGGAAGAAAGCTAGAATGCTTTGGGATAGTTTTGAAGCTAAATGAGCTAGGGTATTTATAGTTGAAGCTTTAAGGACTAATTTGTAAATACCCTAAATTACAATGACTAATTGCATAGTTTTACCATCCAAAATTTTCAACAATTTGGTGGCCAAATTTGACCAATTTTGCGACCCCATTAATGCCACCAAATTGCCACCCATAATGTTGACAATTGATGCAATTTGGTGTGCCAATTTTCAACAATCTCCCACTTGAAGATTTGATTGGAACAATCATATCTTCACACCATTCTTTCTACCTTGTACCTTTCATGTTGCTTACGTTTCTGACAGGCCACAGGAGGATCGACACCAGGTAAATTTATCAGCATTGATTGCCTTCGTCATGAAATCTGCTATGTTGTCTTTGGTATGGATCTTCTGCATATCTACCGTTCCTTCTTCCACCTTTTCACGGATGAAATGGTACTGAACTCGTATGTGCTTAGTCCTTGAATGAAATGCTGGATTCCTTGCTAGATGCAAGGCGCTTTGACTATCACAAAACAGAGAGACATACTCTTGATTGTGCCCAAGCTCCTCCAATAGCATCTTCAACCAAATTGCTTCTTTACTGGCTTGTGTAGCTGCTACATATTCTGCCTCTGTTGTGGACGTAGCCATAACTGACTGCAATTTTGAAACCCAGCTTACAGCTCCACCATCAACTTTAAACACATATCCTGTAGTAGATTTACTTTTATCCAAATCCCCTGCATAGTCAGAATCAACATACCCATTGATAAGTAAATTTGATCCTCCGTAACATAATGCAACATTTGAGGTCCCTTTGATGTATCTCAGGATCCTCTTTACTGTATTCCAATGCTCTTTGCCTGGATTCGCCATGTACCGACTAACCACTCCCACTGCTTGTGCAATGTCTGGTCTTGTGCATATCATAGCGAACATTAAACTTCCCACTGCTGATGCATATGGTACTCGAGACATATCCATCCTCTCTTTTTCACTGCTAGGACTCATACTGGAGGATAATTTGAAGTTAATAGGAAGAGGGGTAGAAATTGGCTGACAATCTTGCATGCTGAATCGTGACAAGATCTTCTTCAAGTAATTCTTTTGTGAAAGTCAAATCTTCCTATTACTTCTTTCTCGGTGAATTTGCATCCCTAGAATCTTGTTTGCTGATCCCAAGTCCTTCATTTCAAATTCCCTAGCCAGTTGTGCCTTCAATTCTTCAATATGATCTTTGTTGGGTCCTGCAACCAACATGTCATCCACATACAACAACAATATAACAAAATCGTTATCACCAGACCTCTTGAAATAAGAACAAGGGTCTGCATTAAGTCTGTTGTATCCAAGGCACATAATGAAGGAATCAAATCTCTTATACCAACACCTCGGCGCCTGCTTTAGACCGTACAAAGATTTGTTCAACCTGCAAACCAAGTTCTTCTTTTCTTCTTCTTCAAAACCTTCAGGCTGGAGCATATAAATCTCTTCTTCAAGATTTCCATGAAGAAAAGTTGTTTTAACATCTAGCTGCTCTAGATGTAAGTTCAATGTAGCACACATTGCCAAAACTACTCGAACTGTTGTCAGTCGAACCACATGAGAAAATATTTCATTGAAATCAATACCTTCTTTTTGAGCATATCCTTTGACCACCAGTCTTGCACGATACCTCTCAACTTGATCATCACCATTTCGCTTAATTTTGAAGACCCATTTGTTACCAATTGGCCTCCTTCCTTGTGGTAGTGGCACAAGGTCCCATGTATTATTTTTATAAAGGGCTTCAATTTCTTCTTGCATCGCCATCACCCACAGTGAAGCATCTGAGTTGTTTATTGCCTCCTGGTATATTGATGGCTCACCGTCCTCTGTTAAAAGGCAGTATGCAATATTACCTTCTATAACATAATCTGAGTGCGAATTGGGACGTCTTCTTACACGATCTGATTGACGAGTTGTTGGTGCTTCAGAACTCTCTGGTTCTTATTCATTATGTCCTGGTTCTGCTTCTGAAGAATCTCCTTGTTCAAACTCCTTTTCCACATTTATCTGTGTAGTCTCTGACTTTTCAGTGCTATCATCGTCTTCTTTTCTTTGTAGTTTATCCTCTACAAAGATAACATCCCTGCTGATGATCACTTTGCGGGCAGTGGGATCCCACAAGCGATACCCTTTGACTCCATCAGCATACCCCAAGAATTTGCATTTCCTGGATTTTGGATCCAGCTTTGAGATTTCTTGGAAGTTGTACATCACGTACACAATACTTCCAAATATATAGAGGTTTGAATAATCAGCTGGTTTACCAGTCTACATCTTCATTGGTGTCTTCAGCTCTATTGCAGTTGATGGAGCTCGATTCACCAAATAACAAGCGGTATTGACTGCTTCTACCCAGAATGATTTTTCTAGGCCTGCATCCCTCAACATTGCTCTTGTTCTTTCTAACAAGGTTCTGTTCATCCGCTCTGCCACTCCATTTTGTTGAGGAGTGTTTGTCATTGTGAACTGTCTTTTGATGCCTTCTTTCCTGCAAAAGTCATCAAATTCTTCGCTTGTGTATTCTCCTCCATTTCTGTTCTGAAACACTTGATCTTATTTCCAGAATCAAGTTTCACTCGTGCTTTGAAGATTTTTAAAGTTGAAAACACATCTGACTTCTTCTTAATAGGATACACCCAACATCTCCTAGAGTAGTCATCAATAAATGAGACAAAGTATTTTGCTCCACCTAGGGATGTAACTGGTGCTTGCCATACGTCAGAATGAACCAATTCTAGAAAATTTTTGCCTCTAGAATTTGACGTGTTGAATTTCAACCGGTGCTGCTTACTTGTTATACAATGCTCACACAAAGGAAGTGATATCTTTGTTAAGCCGGGAAGTAGTTTTTGCTCCACAAGGACTTTCATTCCTTGTTCTGACATGTGTCCAAGTTTCTGATGCCATAGCATTGTCGAATCTGAACTACATGAGGTAACAGAGGCTTCTGCTTCTAGCAAAGTCTCTCCCTTCAGCATGTACAAGTTTGTTGCTATCTTTTCGCCTTTCAGCACCACAAGCGCTCCACGGAACACCTTCATGATTCTTTTCCGTGTTTCAATCTTGCTTGCATTATTATCCAACAATCCGTAGGATAATAAATTTTTCTTTAGGCCTTTCACGTGCCGCACATCTCGAACAACTTTAATTGTTCCATCATACATCTTCAATTTCATGGTTCCCATGCCAATGATTTCTAAGGCATGATCATTGCAACTATACACAAATCCTCCTGAGACAGGTTCATACTGATGGAACCATTCTCTTCTTGAGGTCATGTGATATGTTGCTCCTGAATCAATGAGACATATATCTGCAAATCTTTTTCTTCCTTCCACGGTGGTTGACGCTTCACATCATAATGCATCTCCATCATCTGAAGTGTTTGCGGTATTGCCTTATGGATTGGAGTTTTTATTTAGACTCCAACAATCCTTCTTCAAGTGACCCTTCTTTCCACAGTTGTAGCACTTTAAATTCTTCTTGCTCCTCGACTTTGATCTACCATGTCTATGACTGCTACTTTGGCCACGTTCTGTTGATCTCCCTCTCGTCGTTGTCAACGCTTCTGCTTGTTGCAGATTTACTTGTCTGTCATCCTTGTTCTTGCGTCGATTTTCTTCTTGTAGAACAGCAGCTGCAACGTCATCGAAGACTAGACTGGTGACATTATTGTTTGTCAAGTTGATGATGAGTTGATCATATGAATCCGGTAGACTTTGAAGTAGAAGTTCAGCACGTTCTTGTTCTACTATTTTACAGCTTAAGGATGTAAGCTGAGAAAATAAAGTGTTCAGTGTGTTTAAGTGCTCCGTCACTGAAGTAGATTCTGACATCCGAAGAGTGTACAATTTTCTTTTAAGGAAAATTTTATTGTGCAACGATGTGGCCTCGTACAATTTGGTGAGATGATCCCATATCTCCTTAGTTGTCTTCTTCTCCTCGATGCTTGACAATACTTCATCTGCTAATGCTAGATGAAAGTTTGCCATAGCATTTTCGTCCATCTCGTTCCATTTGTTGTCATCTGCGAAATCCATCGGCCTTTCATTGATAGCCGCTAGACACCCATCTTTCCTCAGGATGGCCTTCATCTTCAATTTCCACAGTGAGAAATTTCTCCCATTGAATTTTTCAATATCAAATTTTGTTGCCATAGCTTCTATTATTGATAGCTCCCACTATTTCACTACCGTGAATAGTTCTCTAGAACCTCAAAGAATGGGTAATACCTTCTTATTTTCTTATATTGGAGGATCCACCTTTTGGTGGCAACCACAAAGACAATAAGAAGATATTACACACTCAAATCTGGCTCGGATACCAATTGTTGCGGAATACGGCTATCGGATAGAGCAAAATCGCAACTGATAATTTGAGAAAATAAAAATGAAGATAAAATAGACACAAAATTTACGTGGAAAACCCCTGAATAATATAGGGTAAAAA